TTTACTTTGTTAGACAGCCTGGCTTTCTCTGAGGCCCAGGAGAGCTCTCTCTTTTTTTTAATTTTTTTTTATTTTATTTTATTTTTTTTTTGCTATAAACAAATATGACTGCCTGATTTCTTCACTTCCAAGTATCCTATACAACCAACCCTTTGTCTTCAGTACTACAAGCAAAACCTATATAATGGAACAAAGACAAATCAAGTGGATTACATTATATAAGAAAACAAAGGCAGTTTCTCAGTCAAAAACCTGCTACTCTACTTTTCTTTTAGGTTCTCCAGAGAATTACAACTATATCATAGTCATGGTTTAAGTAATACTGACATTTTTTTGAGGTGTGCTTTGTCTTCTCAAAGCTTTTAACTTTGCTAGATCATTGTTCTTCACTCAATTTTGAAGCAATAAACATTTCTTAACGCAAGGTCTTAGGAGATAGGCTTTTCAGCACAAATAGTAAGATTAGGTTTGTCTGAATCATAGGGGATTTTCTTTCCACTGGCAGAACAAAAGCAAAAATCCTGCAGTTTTACAGTGAAGAAAATTTAGAATTTACATTGCTGACTCTCATTTTGATTTAAAAAAAAAAAAGTAAATTAAATTTCTCCCTCCTGGCTTATGTTTTATTATGAGAGTAGGGCACTTTTTTTTTTTTTTTTTTAACATAATCTGTGACATATTATTATAATTTATACCAGATATATGTTTCATTTTTGCTGTATGGGAATCTCTCAATTCTGTCAAGCATGAGCAAGATGCGTAGGACATAAAATGCAGATTTTGCATAGTGCCCTGTTAACTGTCCTGTCACATATAGGTCATCCACAGCTGTGGGAACCTATGTGGATTTAATAAACATTGTAATGTCTGGAAAATACCCATTTTCTATTTCAAATTGATGTAAAATGTATATATATGCATGTATACATATGTGTACTTTCCCATGTTATTTGCTGGCACTCACACTTTATGTAAATTACAAAAAAAAGGCTTTTGGCAAAATACTTCATTGCAGTTGATGGTTGAAATCAGGATGAATAGTTAATACCTTTAGTACAATTATAGATCTTCTTTGTCACAAGCATTTGATATTTTGGCTAACCTAGGCTTGCTGCTGACTTTTGCAAGTCTTGAGCACATTAGGGTCATTTAAAAGAAAGAGAACACGTAATCATTAATAGCTACATCAAAGTATGACTGTACTGGTTAGGGCAATCCAGAAGTACAGCACTGGAGACAGCAAAAGGGCTGTCAGCCACTCCAGCACTGAGGAAGTACAATACAGACATGTCCTGGTGTACTTACTGCACGTATCCTCAGTCACTGATGGACTATGGGAATGTTTTTGTTTCATGTTTTAACTTATGAGATAAGATGCCCTGCAGTATTTATTTTACTTGGGATAAACTGTAAGTATATAGGAACTGATCACCCAAATGCACCTTTGTGCTAAATCATGACTGTGTTTCCCTGTAAAGAGTAAGGTAAAAAAAAAAAGATACTTCATTTTTTTTAATATTGAAAGTGTGAAGATATTTATAAATTAATCTGTATCTGAGTGAATATCTATATATGTTTTGGCTTTAGTTTAAGATATGCGAATTCAAAAAGAACATTTTGTTTGTGTACCTGCTGTCATGTTTTGAATGTTGTCCTGTAAAGCTTCTGCTATTCTTTTTACTGGAATACTGCAGTAGGATGGAGGTGGTGGGATTATGGTGGTTTTGAGTAGTTGCTAAGTTCTGCAACTGCCGTTTAGTTAATTTCGGTTCTGGGTGACCCAAAAAGGCCACAAGAGGGTCCTTGCAGTGATGCAGGATATAGTTACAACCTCCTGCATTTTCTAAAATTATCCATATACTTTAATATTCCAGAAACTTGAAAAAAAACTTCTTCTGATGTCCTTTGTTTTAGACTGTCATATTTCAAAAAGGAGAGAGATACTGTTTTATATATGAAACAGTTTTCCTTCACTGTAAAATTTGCTTCATGCCTCTGTACTTGATACACTCAGCACAGAAAATAGTTTTGTGGTCCAAGTGGTATTTTATCAGTCTTTTCAGTGTGCATTTGTGCTGTGATCTGCAAGACTTCTTATTTTTTGATGGTGTTTTCTTGCTTAGGAACTGGTAGTTTTTAAGAAGCAAACCAAAATAGTTAGACTTTATTAAAAAGAAAAAAAAATAAAATAAAAAAATTGTAATTTAAGTATAATACCTCATACTTTCAATAAAGGCACGCATTCAGAATATTCTTTGTAATTTTACTTGTGAATATTGGATTTATTTTTGATGTACTTTGGTCAGAATACCTGTGTTGTTAATAACAAGTAGATAAATACATTATCACTTTCAGATAATGAGGAAATGAAATTTTCCTCTATATGCTTTGTATTTAAAATGAACGCACCCAGAGGTTATGGTTTGGGGTTTTTTTTATTTTATTTTATTTTTTTTAAGCTTGCCCGTTTTGCTTCAGTAAAGCACACAGTGAATCTCCTCACAGAGATTTCTGAGCTCTGGGGTTGGAAGAGCTGCTACACTGCCTCCAGTAGAAAGAGCAAAGCTCAGCAGGACATCTTCCCCCTCTACTTCAGTGGAGAGATGCAATGGCAGGCTAAGGGGGCTGTGAGCTGAGATCTTCTCAAGGTTTAGCAAGCACAAGCAGCCAGAGTTACAGCAGCAGTGGCAGACCTGAACTTCTTTACTTGTGGACTAACAGGTCTTGATCTCCCATGGCCGGGAGCAGACAGCGGATGCTGCTCTCCTGTCTGAAGCATCTCCTGCTCTAGCTGCTTTCGCAGCTGTAGTGTGGTGGGCTGGATATGAGACTTCAGTAGTTGCAGTTTGTGATATGACACACGTAACCGTTCACTGGAACCTCTGTTGGGTGCGTAAGCTGTGAATGAATCAGTACTTTTTGTAGCCAAGCCACTGACACATTTGGGGTTGTTTTGTGTCTGAAAACTTTCTAACCTCAGCACAATTACTATTTTAGCATCTTAATTTTCCCTTATTGGCCATCTGGCTGATTTGGAATGCAAAGGAGGCTAATCCTGTGCAGTAATGATTTAGGAGGAGAGCAGGAAATCCGCTGGGTTTGGGGTGAGGGGGGAGGGAGACTTGCTTTAAAATAATGAGGGCCGATGACCTTACTGTTTACAGTCAGCAAATAGACATTTAGAAAATATAATTTTTAATCCCCTAATTCTGTTCTCCATCTTCCTTTTTTATTGAAATAATGGACAATCCAAGGTGTTTTTTTCAGATTTTGAGTACTTATTTTACACTCTGTCTTCAGTTATTCGAATTTTTAATGGAATTGATAGAGAGAAACCGTCAGCTGATATCTAATAGAATTGATAGAGAGAAACCTTCAGCTGATTTTCATTGGATTGAGAGAAAAAAAAGGTAATGAAGATCAGGTCTATTTGTAAGCATCAGCCATTTCAACTAGGAAAACACATTTTCATAGTGATGCTGATATTATTTCTCCTCAACACAAAAGTGTGGGAAGTCATTTATGCATTATTGTTTATTATATTCTCCTATATAGCTTCTCTTTGGTTGTGTGTTTTATGTGTGTATTTTTTTAACATTTTTGAGGGGGTTATTTTTGCTGAAATAAAATCAGCAGAGAGCACTATTTGTTCTTGGTCTTCTGTGCTCTTCTGTGCTCTCTGACTTGATGTCTTGAATGTATTCATTTATGAGTACAATTAATCAAATAAATAAACAATGTCTATCTGTTCAATTCTGCCATGGCAGAAACATCTTCAAAATATATCTGAAAACTGAACTATCACAGCAAAATACTAAATGGCCCTGTGTTTGCCTTGCTTTGCATACATTCAGTAGCCAAATGTATTTTACGTTCCAGAGTACAGATTGCTTGTCATTTGTCTGATAAAAAGCAAAATAATATTGTAATGTCTCTCAGTTTTAGAGAAGGGGAAATATCCAATAGCTTGTATCCAATTAATTAACCTTGATGAAAAATGGTAGCCCTCATGAAAATTTGATTTGAATCTGCTGAAAGCTTACATACATTATTTACTGCAGACCACCAGAAAGACAGAATATATGTCAGAAATTTGTCAGTTATTTCATGTTGTTTTTGTGTTATGTTTTGTAGATACCTGCAGCGTTTTCCACAAATGTACTTCTCCCGTGCTACTGCAGGAGAGGCAACTGGTAGCAGCATCACAGCAATCTGCTCCTTTCTCTCCAGTCATTCTTACAGACAAGCAAAGAGTAGTCTGGAAAACAAAACCCACACTAGAAGTCTCACAGAATGGCTTGGGTGGGAAGAGATCTCTAGGATCATTAAGCTCCAACCACCCCCCGGCACAGGCAGGGCCACCAACCTCCCCATTTAACACTAGACCAGGCTGCCCAGGGCCCCATCCAACCTGGCCTTGAACACCTCCAGGGACAGGGCATCCACAACCTCTCTGGGCAGCCTGTTCCAGCACCTCACCACTCTCTTTTCTATGAGGGCTATTATAGAAAAGAACGTTCCCCCCTGATATCCAACCTAAATCTTCCCTCCCTCAACTTAAAACTGTTTCCCTTTGTCTTGCCATTATTTACCCGCATAAAGAGTTGACTTGACTCCTGTTTGTAGATTCCCTTTGGGTACTGAAAGGTTACAATGAGGTCACACTGCAGCCTTCTCTTCTCCAGTCTGAACAAGCCCAGATCCCTCAGCCTGTCTTTTTAGGAGAAGTGTTCCAGCTCTGATCATCTTTGTGGCCCTCCTCTGGACCCTCTCGAACAGTTCCCTGTCTTTCTTGTATTGGAGTCCCCAGACCTGGACACAGTACAGTAGTTTGTGATAGCTTATGTAGTTTGTATTTGGTGAAAGTAGGGGTCATTGAATGGAAACTTTGGTTTTTCTGCCATTGCACAATGGAGACCAATGCAAAACATGTTCAGATAGATGAATATGAAGACGATGAACACTAATACCAAGAGATAACATTTTAACATACATTTTAGGACTTCGTCCGAAAAGAACTGTGCGCTTGGTGCTATGGACAGGAGAAGAACAAGGAGGAATAGGTGCTGAGCAATACTACCAGTTGCATAAGGTAAATAAGATTTTCAGATTATTTGCTTGACAGCACTTTTCTCATTAGTTTTACGATACACTCATTATTTTTGTCAGAATGTTCAGCTTAATATCTAACTGAAAATAGTGGTTCTAGTTCTACCTGAAAGAATGTTTTGTCTTCTATCATAAATGTAAACTTCACATCACTTTGTTAAAAACAATATGATTATGTATAGACGTGTTCCACTGGCCTAACATACTCTATCACAAAATTGTTCTGAAGCAGATGTTGCACAAGGATCTGCCATAGCTTCCAAACATACTGGCTTTCTCAGAATATATGAGGAATGGTCCACATGTGTTGGTAATATAAACAAATTTTGTTTGGCTTATGTATTTCTACTTCCTGGCATTTTTCCATAATATCTTACAATGTAAAACAAGAAAAGTCTTAATTTATTTTTAATAGTGTCTACTCTAAAGTGCTCTGTGCCAATTATTAATATTATGTGATCTGGAATATTGTAAATGCTCTGGAATATTGTTTATGCAATCTCTGTTATCAGGATAAAAATACTGTCCATTTTCACAACTGTTTCACCTGTCAACAGCTACCTTTAAAAAGTACGGAATGTGACGAAGGACAGCTGCATAAGACTATTTTGGAGATAAGTCTTCAGAATATGTTTGTTTTTTATTTCCCAGGAAATTTTTCATACAGAGGTTGATGAGGAATTGGAACAGGTTGCCCAAGGAGGTTGTGGATGCCCCATCCCTGGAGGCATTCAATGCTCTGGTCTGGTGGTTGGCAACCCTGCACATAGCAGGGGGTTGAAACTAGATGATCATTGTGGTCCTTTTCAACCCAGGGCATTCTATGATTCTGTGATTCTATGATAAGGTGCATCAAGAAGAGTGTGGCCAGGAGGTCAAGTGAGATGATCTCCAATCTACTCTGCCCTGCTAAGGCCACATCTGGAGATCTGCGACCAGTTCTGGTCTCCCCAGTTCAAAAACAACAGGGATGTTTGTCATGGTTTTATGATTTTTGGTTATTGGTATTCCATGTCATAACACCATGTAGTGCACTGGAAATTAAAGTGTTAATGCTCCAGTTTCGGGTACCTGTCCCCAAAGAAAAGAACTACATTCCTCAGAAGACTGTTCTCTGTGTTGTTATCTTTTCTGCTCAGAGGGATATATGTATAATGCCTTGGTAGGTCATCTAACCTCTCCTTCTTCGTCACGCTCTCCTCCTTGCTGTGCAGTTGCATCTCATTTCAGTGTTTTGGTGAGGCCTGTCCACCTTTCAGATACTCTCTCAATATATTTGATCTATTAGCTTCGATTCTAATTATATTGCATTATAGTGTGTTATCTTGCATTCCCATTCCATATTTAGTAAATTAGTTTGTTTCTCCTCAGATCGTTGCCACTGTTTTTAATTATTCTGGGGTCCCGTTTCCCTTTTCCGGATCCCTCCACCCTGCTTGTCACAGAACTGGGCTGAACCAGCCTGTAAACCATTGACAGATGTCCTTGAGAGAGTCCAGTGTAAGGCTTCAAAGATGATTAGGGACAAGGAGTATCTCCCATATGAGGAAAGGCTGAGAGACATGGGACTGTTCAGCCTGGAGAAGAGAGAGCTGAGAGGCGATTCTGTAACTGTTTATTAGTATCAAAAGTGCATGCTCTTTTCATGTTGAATCATGTTGATGGGGGTGGACTCTTTTCAGTGGTGTGCAATAACAGAACAAGGGGCAATGGGCAAAAACTGGAAGACAGGAATTTCCATAAAAACACAAGGAAGATCTTCTTTACTGTGAGGGAGGCCAGGGAACAGGCTTCCTGGAGAGGTTATGGAGTTTTCTTCTTTGGAGGTGTTTAATGCACACCTTGTTGCTTTCCTGTGCAACATGCTGTAGGGAAACCTGCTCTAGCAGGGATCTGTACTTCATGATCTCTAGAGGTCCCATCCAACTTCTACAGTTCTGTGATTCCCTAAAGACAAGAAGAGTAAGAGTGTGTTTTGGAAGTCACCTGCTGTACAACAGACTTACAAGAAGGTAATGAATTCCTAGGAGGATGCTTTCAGTGGTAAACAGCCTAATAGAATAAGTACATGGAAACTTCACTTTGAATCAGCCTCATTGTGATGAACAAAAATCGATTTGCATAGGAACAGAGCGGTCAGAGATAACACTGTGATGCTACCACTAACTTGTTCAACATTACTAAGTGTTTTAACTACCCATACATAATGTAGTCATCCTTATTCCTCCATATTATAGGGGAAGCCCAGCTCTCTAGTTTGGAAGACAAATTTAAGAGCTTGCTTTCTTCCACTCAGAGAGGTGGCAGATTGCAGTTTAGTGTGCATTAAGGACTCTGGATTTACTCACAGATGCCCTGATGTTTAGCAGGATTAAACTGGCATGAAATATTCTGGAATACATCCCAAGGGAAAGAGCTGCTTCTCATTTACAGAAGTGCATTTTAGAAGAGCTGGAAGGGACAGAGCAAACATTTTGTGCCTGATGCATGCTGCTTGTGAGAAGTTTATCACCTCTGAGGATTTTGGAAAGAGCACCCATTCCCGTCTTGGAAAATCAGCTTTATCCTGTGGTTTTAGAACTGTCAGAACACATCAAATTGTCCTATACACTTCTCATCTTTTTTCAGATAATCTGTATTTCACTCTAGTCTCTATGATTTATATTCAGAAGTAATATCAAAAAATGGGTTAAAGGCTCAAATGTGAAAATATAAAGCAGATTTGGGTGTTGTTTGAAAGACACCGGATTACTTTACTTTTAAATTGAAAAAGATGTCTCAAGTTTTGCTGTGCTGACGTGATTCCATCTCGGTGTTGTTCTCTGCAAAGAAAGTACAGTCTAAGTTAGCATGGATTTGTAATTTACATGGAGAATTTAAGCAGAAATGACATCCGTCTGTTGTTTGTTGTTCTTGTTTCCCCCCTGCCATGTGATCTGGCAGAATTATAAATTGATACAACAACAGGACATCACATTACTCATAATAACAAACTAAAGCAGATTAATACTGTAAATTATATTTAGTGTGAAAAATATCTTAACCTTTTAATGATTCACTAGTGCAGATTTCTGGCAATTAGAGTAGTATGGTGCAAAACATAGATTCTTGATATTAATGAGTACAACTGAAGTAAGAGTGTTATTTAAAGATGCCTTATTAAATGAAAGATGGTCCATATGACTCATCTGCATAGCTGGGCTTATTATGAGTTCAGTTCAGCACAGACAGACATGGATTTCCTCGACACTCTAAATTACACTCTCGTGTCAGTGGAAATGTGGCAGGGGAGAAGAAATGAAGAAGATATAGGACTGGATGAGTACAGATACTCTTCTTTTTGTAGCCTATTTATTTTTTTCTTTCAATTTAATTTCTGTTCTTTTTTCATCATCTGTCATTGTAGGTTGCCAGTGCTGTATAGGGAATAAGTTACTGCAGAAATGAGAGATAGCAGCCACAAAGTGATTTTAGTATGATGCGGAATAATTAACTCATATCCCCAGATAGTGGCATTATTTGTATCACACTCAGTTATTTCTGCAGAGCCTGGTGTTGTAGTGTCTGTTTGCTAAGACTAGTCATAGGGTGTACTGACTGTTCAGATCTTTATCAGAAAGCAAGAGCTGCCATATTGGCTGACCAAAGCTCAGTCTAACCCTGTCTCCTGTTCCTGACAGCACTCAGTAAATAAGATGCCAATGCAGCTAGAGTAAGATCAGTCACACAGATTACTAATACAACTATTTTCTCATTTTATGAAACATTTTTTCTGGAGAGAATCTCACAGTCCTCATTCCTTTGTATGATTTTTCCAAGATGTTTTCAAGAGCAGAGAGCCAAGTTCTGTCGAACAGTTTCAGTGCCTCCATTAGTACAGGGGAACCTGGTGCCCACCACTGCATCTCAGAGCAGTTCTTAATTTGGGGTAGAAGCCCTCGGGGAATCACCAGCATCTTTGCTCCCAAAGAAAATACCCATCAAAATGTTTGCTGCTTTTAATTGGTAGCCGGTACTTACATTTACTCCTAGACTGGAAAAAGGCCGGGTTTGCCTTCACAATACAGACTCCTTACTTTGATGAAGAGGAATTAAATAAAATTATCTAAGTATAAATCAGGCTCCAAATCCTGGCATTCAGTGCTAAATGTGAAGTGCTTAGTTTTGTGATCTGGTTGTTGAGGATGGCTCTTATCTACAAACCATATAAATAGCTTAGAAAATTTGAAACATTACAGCTGCTGTTTTCCTATCCAAGTTGCATAAAGGAAGCAGGAGAAACGTGGCTTAGTAGTTCTGGAGGAGCTCATTGCATCTGTTCTGTACAGATTCTTATATTCCCTTCAACAACAGTACCTGATTGCCTTCCACGAGGCTTGAAGTATTTATTATGCCTACTCTTATGATGTCTTACTGAGGGGACAAATGAGCATATGTAATTGTCTTGCCTTGGTATAGACTTCTGGAGTTTTCAATTTTGGTTTGCAGAGGGGAAAGTTCAAAGATGGGTACCTCACATTGCACACAGATTGCTGTGTTGGTGTTGGTCTTTTGTTCTACTTTCATTTAATTGCTTTGGACTTTCTCTGCTAAAGATCTGTGTGCCATGAAGACAAGGTTACAGTTATTTACCCATTTGAATTAAGGGACTGTGAGTGGCAGATAATTATTTTGCAATATAAGTATTACATACCATCTCCCAGGAATGCAAAAATATTTTGTAATTAGAATGCAAAGAGATACTGGGCCAAATTGAAACTTTCTTAAGTAATTCTATTGGGATCATTGGAGGCATTAATGTGTTAAGAATTTGTTTCAAGCTGTACTAGAGAAAGCATTGCTAAAGTATTTCTGCATATGTTTTTGTTGCTATCTTAATGATGTTTAGAATGCTTCCTTAAATATCTGGTGTGTGTGCCATACACTGCTTGAACATTTTAAGAAAGATTTGATTTTCTGAAAAACATTAATCATCAATGTTTT